CCAGCACTCACACTCCAGCCTTCACACAGCATCCCTCATACTCCAGCCCTCACACTCTCGCTCTGTCACTTAAGCCCTCTCACTTAAGCCCTCTCACTGTTGCCCTCAGCCTTCCTCTTCACACTGAGTCCAAGAATTAGAGGTGTGTGTTTTTTGAAAGTTGTTTGGTTATTCTGCTTCCCTTTGCAGTCTCTTGCTCCTCAAACTGCCCCTAAACCGGCTCACATTCCTCACACTGATGCTCAGCTCACTGTGGAATCGAGTGCGGTGTGATTCCGACTGTGTTATTCACTGTGGGATATTAATTTGTTTGCTGAAACCTGGAAGACATGTGATGTTGGATTTGGCTTAGGATTTGGAACAGAAACTGGCTGTCACATAGGACAAACAGCTCCTGAATGTGTTAGCCTTAGTCAGGCTCAGTGTTGTACATTGGTAACTCTGGCTACTTGGAGACTGAGATCAAAGAATTATGAGTTCAAGGCCAGTATTGGCAGCTGGTGAAACCCTGTCAATATATAAATGAATAAATAAATTTTAAAAATTGTAAAACATTTAAAACCTGCGAATACTCCTTTTTGTGACACACAAAAAGGACACAAAAATTACATGCATGCATACATGTTTGAACCTTTTCCTACATACAGAAGGATATATTTTGCTTACTTCGGCAGCACATATACCAAGTTTGGAATGATACAGAGATTAGCATGGCCCCTGCACAAGAAGGGAACACTGCGGGGAGAATCCCGAGTCCCTGGGCATTCTCAAGCCTGAGAATATCCCCGTGTAAACTGAGACCATGAAGGCTGGGTGCAGCTCAGGGTAGGGTACATGCTTAGCATATACCGGACCTGAGTCCAGTTCCCCATGCCAAAAAACCCCAGAAAAAACCCAAAGATGAGACCACAGAGTGGCAGGAAGAGGAAGGCCCCGGCCACCCGGGGAAATCAAAGATGGTGTCTCCCTCATGTTAAGTGCAGGGACACGGCCTTCAGTGGACCGTCTCAGAGTTCGTGTGTGCTCTTTGCTTCTGGGGGACAGGGTGAGCTGGTGGCTGGCTCATGTCTGGGAAAAAGACACCCCAGGAGGTTGTTCACTGCCCTGGTGGCAGAACGAGGGAGCCTGCGGGGTTGAGGACCTGCCTGCCTTCTGAGACTGGGAGAGAGGGCTTGATTTATGGACAAGCTATGAGGCTGAGTTACAGCTCGCACAGGCCTGTTAGATTCTGTCCCAAAGGGTCACCTGAGTGGCTTTGATCATCTCAAAGGCAGGATCCTTGAAGCCACAGGAAGACATCTGACCAACTAGGCTAAGGCACGGCTCCGCCTGCCCCAAGGAGTCAGGAGATGAACAGTCCCAGCCAAGGAAGAGTGTTACGGTGACACTGATGAGAGTGCCAGATAAGAAGGAGTCAGCTGTGCCCGCCACACAGGGAGGGCTGATGCCACCTCAGCAGCTGCAGCCGGAGAAGTCCTCTTCTAATGTCTTAGTCACTTTCCATGACTGAGACACAATCCCTGTCACCCACCACATAGAGGGGGACAGCTTCACTTTGGGTCATGGTTTCAGAAGTTCAGTCCGTGGTTCACCAGCTGTAATGGAAATGCAGCATGCGGAGGGGCCGGGCAGAGGAGAGCTGCTCACATCATGGCAGCCAGGAAACAGAGCAACGGGAGGAACTAGGGAGGGTGAGGCGCTCTTTTAGCGCAGGGCCCGGTGACCCCACGCTCACCAGGCCCCACTCCTGAGAGCACAGGCCTGCTTAACTCACTACTGGGTGAGTCCACGGATGAGACCTCGGTCCTGTGATCCAGTCACCTTCAAAAACCCCACCTCTGAGCCATGAGAGTTTGGAGGTCATTCTTGACCGAAACCAAAACACCCAGCCTCTCCCTGACACACTCCGTCCCTGGAGAGCTCCGAGGTCCAAGGTAGCAAGATGAGAGCCGAAGGGTGGACGACACCCAGCTGCCAAACCAGCCTGTGCAGTGTGCAGTAAGTCCCTGACTAACAGGTGAGTTCTGGATAGGTCAGAAGTCAGACAAAGGGAGCTGACAAAGGGAGTCTTACACGGTACACGTGTGAAAGCCCACAACTCGAACATTCCTAAGTGTCAGTGAGGACCCCTCTGCCTTCTCCCTTGCTGCTCTGCCACCCCTGGGGGCTGCCGTTGGTTTCACACTGGAAAAGCTGAAATAGGCTCCCTCTGCTGGAGGGAGTGGCTGAAGCTGGAGAGCAATCACACATGTAGGGCTAAAGCACAGCCAGCCCTGAGAGTGCGGAGAGCCCAAAGTGAGCCATGTAAACAAGCTGTTCCAGCTCTGAAAAGGCAAGAGGCCCAGGCCAGCCAGGAAAACAAGTTGCTGGGTAGCAGGGTCAAAATTGACATCATCCTTCCGAGTGTATAAATAAACGTGCTACGGTGGTTGAGCAGTTCCTGCCCCACCCCACCATCAGGCGAGAAGGCCCCACCTGACCTCAGGTTTTGTCTGTTTTCTTTATTTCTCCTTCCTCTCACCACCTCCCCTCCCGGGACTTTAAGAGCTGCTGGTGCATGACTCTCCATATCAGCTGGCTCCCTATTCTAGCCAGGGTAAGGGAACACCATGCTTGAGAATAAAAGATTGCTGCTGATTCTGATTCTATTGGTCCAAAGTCAGAGACACAGCCATACCTAGCTGCAAGGGATGCTGGGAAAGATCATCTCTATTAAGGTGGCTATGAGTCCAATAAAAATTTGAAAGTCCTGGTTACTTAGAAGAGGAGAATGGATGTTGGAGGGGGGCAGTAGCAGTTCGTGCCACAAAGCATGAAGTAGGAAATAAGACACCATCACCACACACCTCAAAGGAAAAAGGCCTCATATTTAAATAAAATTTGGGGTCTTTACCATTAAAATTAAGCCCTCTAATTATAGATTTGGGGTCTTTACCATTAAAATTAAGCCCTCTAATTATAGATTTGTCAAATTATAGTGATCAGATTACCTTTAAAATGGCATCGAACCTGCTCCAAATTTTGAAAGGTGGAAAGAGAACAAATCCACATAATAGATTTAAAGAGACAGAGAAATGTAAGTTGCTTCCTTATCCCACCTTGCATTGGTGAGGTGAGGCTAAGCAGGGATAGCAAAGGACCTTCCTCCGAGCACCCACTTTGGAGATGACGCTATGCAATGCATTAACTGTTATCTCCTATTGTTTTGTTATGAGTTTCAGTCTTTTTTTCAATTGAAAAAAAAGACCTTAAAAGCCTGTGTGGTGGTGCACACCTGTCATCCCAGCACTGGGAAGGCTGAGGCAGGAGGATCACTGCAAGTTCAAAGCATGCTACAAAGTGAGCTCAAGGACAGCCTGAACTGTCTCCGATGGACAACAGATTAAAAGGCTGGTTAGAGCTCTTCACATGCAGCGCCCTGCTCCCCGACAGTGAGCTCGGCTGCGGCCCTCCCAGACCTGTCTCTTCTTGCTGCAGCTGCATTCATCATCACGTGGTCCTGGGCCACAGCAGGCGGCTTGGGAAAGCAGCTGAAGGCTCCCCACCACCCTGCCCCTCAGCTATCCATTTAGAAACAATGACAAATGTTTACTAAGGAGCAATGACACAAACACACAGATTTAAAGAGTGCACTTTGACGGGTTTTCTCCTGCAAAAACCAACACCCCATTCAAGGGAGCGAACACACCCAGGCTCCCACTGCGTGGTGCAGGTCCTGCACAAGTCCTGCCCCTCCCAGCCCCGTGCCCCAGCAACCATGCTCTGTTTTCTGTCTCCATAGATCTGTTTGTCTTTTCTAGAGTTTTATATAAATGAAACCATGAAGTGCACAGTCTTTCTTGGTCTGGTTTATTTCACTCTGGCTATCAGCTCTGCAGACACTGTTTCAGCGGCCAGGAAGCCGCGATGCTGGCCTTCGCATGCACTGGGCGCTGTGAACCTTGTTAGGCTGTGCAGTGTTTCTTCGTGGTGCTAAGGCTGCTTTCTGGTTAATGGATCCTTCTTAATCCCAAACAAGAATTACGTGCACTCTCCATTTTTTGCAAAAATATATAACCTTGAACCTCAATCCTCTTTTTTTTACTTCCCCCCACAATTTTATTAAAATTTGGTTAAGGAAAATATTGCAGCGAGAGAAATCCTGCAGATGCAGTCTGTCGTCCAACTGAGGTTCCAGAAGCTTGCAGTGCTGTGAATCCTGCCTGGATTATTTCAGAGCTTCTCAGAATCCCTTAGAACTGGTCGTGCTTTGGCCCTGCACTCTCAATGCACTGTGACTCATAAGAGTCGGACACAGTGCTCAAGAATTTACGGATGATGTGGTACACCTGGAATTCATTTTAAAGGCTGGCCAGGGAAAGAGCGGGAGGGGCAGATCAGGGAGGACAGCCCTTTTCTGGCTGTCCTGAAAGCTTTGCCAGAGCAGAGTCATGTTCATTAGATCATCCCACAGCTTTTGTGTGCGTCTGAAAATTACTATCATAGGCAATTCTCACACACAAGTAAGAAATTTCCCCCACGCCTTTACTGTAGGGCTAGTATTCAAGACACTGGCTATTCGTCATTTTCAAACATACAATTTAGGTCAGAAGTTAAGGGTAATTTTAAGGCTTAAATAAAATAATAACTTAGCCCAGTGCAACTTGAGTCAGAGTAAGCATTTAATATGCAATAATTATTTCTTATATTATTATTTAATCAGAATAGATGTGTGAGTATTAGAAGCCAGACCCACCATATTGGACAAAGGCCAAGGGGAAAATGTCTTCCTACAGAGGTGTTCGTTGTAGGTGGTTTTCTGGGAGGCTCCTGGATTGAAGAGTTTTGTGAAAGAACTCTCAAGACTGCCAGAGCCTCCATCCAAAGGGAAAATTTAGCATGAAATATTAAGAGTAATCACCATGACCAGTCAAGAGCACAGAGATAGCTTAGGATCCTCAAATGTACCATGAATATAGACTAAAGGAAATAAAATACATGGAAATTTGATAAAAACAGGACAAATCAGTATTTATTGGTAACAGAATTCTTGGAAACTGGGAATAAAAAGGTACTTGCTTATGCTAAAGTTTATTTATTTCAAATAAACAACCAGTATGATATTCACTGAAGAATCTACATCAAGAATGAGACAGCTCTCCCACCTATAATGATGGTCAGTACTCCATTTCCCAGCCAGTCATAAACAAAACAAGAAAATATAAAAGCAAAGGGCCTGAATAAACACTGGAAAGGAGAAACAGATCGAGTTGCTTTTTGTTTCTTGCTTGGTTTTGTTTTTGTTAATTTATTTTTAAAGACAAGGTCTCATTATGTGACCCAAGCTGCCCACCAAGTCTTGATCCTCCTGCCTCAGCCTCCCTGCAGTGCTGGGATTGCAGGAGTGGATTACCATGCCCCGCTGAGATCAATGCATTCTTACTGTCCACTTTTTTCATCTTCCTAGAAAATAAAGAATATCAGCATAAAACCTTTCAAATTCAGAACACACGCACACACACACACACACACACACACACCAAGCCACAGATTTTCCTGTTACCAGCACTGCCTCCCGGAAACTATAAAACATTCACACTCCTAATGTCTACAGTACTTCAGAACATAATTCAAAGACACATTCACACCCGAGGAAAGAAGATTGCACATGCTTGTGAAGGACCACAAGCCTTACTGCAATCTCTCAGGTTCTTGAATATGAATCCTTAATATTCTAAATAGACCAATTCCCCACAACATACCTGTGAACCAAAGGAAATTCCAATATTAATAGAATTTTAATATGATAAATTTTAAACAGATTTTGAAAAATCAGAATAATGGAGAGATACAAGACCTGCTAGATGCGCAAGCTTATTGGATAGACCCAATAAACAAAATCAAGGGCTGCTGGGACAAGAGCAGTATGACCAGGCGTGGTACACATACCCCTGATTCCAGCACTCAGGAGGCTGAGGCAGGCACACTCTTGGGAGTTCAACACCAGCCTGAGGTGCATAGTGAGTTCAAGACCAGTCTGAGCCATGTGGTGACAGCCCGTCTTAAAAACAAACAAAAAAATAAACAGCAGTGCTCAGAGTCTGGGGAATACAAAACCACCAAACAGAACTTTGAGTACACTAAGAATTCAGCAGAAGATAAAAAGCACATTTCAAACCAGTGGGGGAAAGAATGCTTTCTTACACAAATGGTATTAGCTCAGCTAGCTATTTGAAAAACAATGAGTAGGATTATATCTGTACTCAAAACCAACTCCACATGAACAGAACCATGAAGGAAGGGGAGAACACACCGGAAGTGAGGACTGGGTAGACTAGAGATGAAGACAGTTCCATTGATCCTGGGACTGTTCCCTAAGAGGAAGCGTGTGGTTCTTCTTGACCTATCCCTCAACGCCTCCCAAGTACCTAAATGTCAATTCCATTCCGGCATCCTGGGCTTCAGTACCTCTGCTTTTCCATCTCTGCAATAACTGCAAGTTTGAACCAGGTGTGGTGGCTCACACCTGTAATCCCAGCACTCGGGAGGCTGAGGCAGGAGGGTTGTTGGGAGTTTGAGACCAGCCTGGGCTACAAAGTGAGCTCAAGGCCAGCCTGATGAGCACAGCCAGACCCTGTCCCAAAAACAATAACAACAAACAAACAAACAAAAACAAACCTGCAAGTTTGGACCCTATAATTCCTCAGTAAGAAGGAACTGGTCTTGGATAATGTTTTCGGACAATTTCCTTCCCAATGTGTGTGCTACTCAGCTTTCTGTTCCTGTGACAAAATAGCTGATGCAGTCGTCTTAAAGGAGGAAGGGTTTACATCGGCTCACCTCTTCACAGGTTTCAGTCCATGGTTTCTTGGCCCTTGCTTTGGGCTGTGCTGACGATTTAGAGGAAACACAACTCTGACCTGTTAAGACATCAGAAGTACGAAGTTTGGAGCCTCACAAAATCAAGGAACAAAGCCAGGAACTAAAGGAAGAAGCAGGAGAGTTTTATTGGAAATGACAAGAATGAAAGGTTTGGCCCAGACAGGACACTGTAGCCAGGAAAGCCACAACTGGAAGCAGGAAGCCCCATCTTGCCCTGCCCCTAGGAAGTTACCTGTGACGCCATCTTCCCGCCCCTGGGAATTTACATATGGTGCCAAACCTAGGACCAATGGGCTACCTGTGTATCCCTAATGCCCGCCTTAGGTTCCACCCCAAACCGAGGCTATTTACAGGCCCCCACGCCGCGTGTCCGCTGGAGAGATTGCCGGACGCCAGCGGTGGGGGTGCCGGTCATCTCTCTCCGTGTTCTCAGAATAAAGGCCGCTTTTTATTTTATATTTCTCATCTTTTGTTAATATTTTTCATCTTTTGGAAATAACTCTATCATTTGGTGCCGTGACCCCAGACAGGACACTGTAGCCAGGAAAGCCACAACTGGAAGCAGGAAGCCCCATCTTGCCCTGCCCCTAGGAAGTTACCTGTGACGCCATCTTCCCGCCCCTGGGAATTTACATATGGCGCCAAACCTAGGACCAATGGGCTACCTGTGTATCCCTAATGCCCGCCTTAGGTTCCACCCCAAACTGAGGCTATTTACAGGCCCCCACGCCGCGTGTCCGCTGGAGAGATCGCCAGACGCCAGCGGTGGGGGTTGCCGGTCATCTCTCTCCGTGTTCTCAGAATAAAGGCCGCTTTTTATTTTATATTTCTCATCTTTTGTTAATATTTTTCATCTTTTGGAAATAACTCTATCATTTGTTGCCGTGACTCTATCGGCAGGCAACTGACTGTTGGGTCACATACCCAAAGTCTTCTAGCCGATAACCAGATAACATCCTGGATTAATCCCGAGCTTTTTCCTCTCCTGAGACGTTCCTGTCGCCAGCCGCCTGCACTCCGCATCGGCCAGACTGATTTCAGGTGAGCACTCCCCGGGGAACTTTTCGCACTGGGCAGCCCCAGTGGAATGTTCTCCCCGTCTGCGTGGGTCTGTGCATTTTCACGTCCTTAGGACCGCCCAGGGCAGGGTTCTTTCTGGGCAAACCTGCGCCCACAAAATCTCTCACGTTCTTTGGGTTCGGATAGCCCAAAGCAGAGATTTTTGGGACCGCCCACACTGAAAGAATGCCTCACTTCCCTTAAAGCCTTGCGCTTTCACGGGCAAAACTGTTACTGATCCCACGTAGACTCCATTCGTAAATCTCAGTGACGACTGGAGTTTACGGTTTGGAACCGTTCCGCCGCGTGGTACCACAAATAAGTGACGACTTTTTTCTGGACCTCCGGTTTTTTTTTCTTGCCTGAATCAGTCATGGGGAACGTATTTTCTAACTCCCAAAAGACGCCTTTAAAATGCCTAATTTCCAATTTACGTACTCTAAAAATTAAAGGTACCATAAAAACTAAACAACTAACTTTTTACTGCCAGGAGGTCTGGCCAACCTACCCGCTTATCGGCAAGCCTTGGCCTCGGCAAGGAACATTTGACCCCTGCATTCTCAGGAACTTGTATGATTTTTGTCAAGCTGGCAACAAGTTATTGGAACTCCCTTATGTCCAAGCCTTTCTTATTCTGAGAACACGCCCATCTCTCATTAAGTCTTGTGCTCCCGCTGAGATACTTTTAGCTAACTCTACCGCGCCGCAAACTTTTCCGTCCTGCCCTCCAGTGTTTTTCCGGCCGCCGCCTGCCTACCACCAAACTCGTTCCCTGCTGTTACCTCCCGCCGGACCGCTCTCTCCTCCCCCTGTGCCTGATTCTCTCAGCAGCTGTAATCCCTCTCCATTGCAGATACCTCCCACTGTACGATCGTCTCCCTCTCCGCCTTCCAGGACCCATAATTCTCCCAGCAGCTCTAATCCCTCTGTGTCGCAGTTATCTCCCGATGTTCCATCCTCTCCCCCGCCTTCTCCTGGGACCCATAACTCTCCCAGCGGCTCTGATCCCTCTGTTAGTGCTTCCTCACAGTCTCCGACTTCTCCTGAGAATTCTGTATCCCCTACAGCATTCTCACCACCCGCCCACCATACTAGGTCTCGGTCGCTGTGTCCTTCCAGCAGGTCGCGTGATTGTTCCAGCTTGCGCGGGGAACAGTCGCCATGTTGCAACCCTCTGCCACGTGGCATGGCGCCGCCATGTTCCGGAGGGCCACATGGCGACAGGGCGCCGCCATGTTTTGGGTCACGTGACAGGGCGCCGCCATGTTTCCAGGACCCTCACTGTCAACAGGCGTCTCCTTGTGGCTCCTCTTGTGAACTACAACAGCCGCCCTGTTGCAGTGCACATGACGCTTCATTGTGCTGCCGACAGCAGTCCTCTAGCTGCGAGGCGCACAGTGAGACGCCATCTGCTCGTGTTTCCCAGGGTGACCAGCAGCAGCTCTGTAGCCGCTCTACAGATGATTGCTCACATGCGCCTACTGGAAGGATGGCTGCTCAGTGGCCCTCTGCTCCGGAATCTCCTCAGGCTCTGCTACCGCTTCGGGAGCAAGCTGGCCCCAAGGAGCTTGTTAACATCCATGTGCCTTTTTCCCTTTCTGATCTATCCCAGATTACCCTTAAATTAGGTAGCCTCTCTGTTGACCCACAGAATTATATCAGGCAATTTAAATTTATTACTAATTGTTATGATTTACATTTTAAGGACATTTATAATGACTCTGGGCCTATAGCTGTGCCAGAGCAGGACAAACATACTAACTATAACAAACTTTTAAAACAGGTCCAGGAAGCTAATCAAAACCCAGCTGTGTTCCTAAATTGGCTTTCTAATCCTCACGCCCTGCAAGCAGTTCCAGCTTTGCGCGCTGTGTCGGGCCGCCTCCCAGCCCCTCCCCCATGCGCCGTCCCAGCCCCTCCCTCCCCCATGCACCGTCCTCGTCACCGCTGCCACCTTACACGTTTCCGGGGGCAGTCCGAGCCCGCCCCTGCGCGCCACATCCCAGCGCTTGCCCCACCCACTGGGCGTGCTCTGCCGGAGCGCCGAGAAACAGCAGCTCAGCGGCTCTGCTCAGGCATGCTTTTTTTTTTACAATTTGGCTCCGCTCAAAAGATGCTTTTATTACAATTCTCAAACCATTTAATCAAGGTTATTGGCCACCTGATAATTTTACCAGCCTTGTTTATCAATCAAAGCCTTCACCAATCTCCTCTTTAACAACTAAGGTTATAAATTCCTTTTTGCTGGGAACCACTAGCTCTATTTCAAGACAAGGGTTTTCTTCAAAGTTTTATTTTATTTGTCTTGGTTCATACTACTGCAAATAACAACTTTAAAAGTAAATGTGTTCAGAATTTGACAGTATTAGATCAGTTTTGATAGATTTATTCATAAGATTGCTAAACCTTTACTGCAAAATGTTTCCATTAAAGCCTGCTCTCTAATCCAAAATGCCAATATTAAATTCCTGCATACTTACTTAATTCTACTATAGTCCAAATCCCAAACAAAAAGGCAAAACTTGACCTTCAAACCTTATAGAGACCTTAATATGGTTTTTTAATATTTTTAACACTTGTGACACTTGGAGTTCTGAGACAGGTAAACCTACACAAGGTGGAGCTGCCTGCCCCCTCCATGGACCACACTCAAAATGCAGCAGAAGATACTGGGCAAGAAAATGCCCCACCCTGTCATTCTTTGAGACCTTACTCCAGGGCTACTGGACTGTCCTAGCCACCAGAGAGTGGGTAAGTCATCCTAAGTAATAGCCCTCACAAGAAATGTCGACACTGCCAGATTCGTCACCGACAGAAAATCGCTGCTGGAGGCTGAGGGGGTTCAGGGCAACAACAGCCCCCTTTAAGGTGTCCGTCTCAGATTCCAAGTCGCACTACAGTCTCAGGTAAGACATTCTCTATATTTGTGGACATAGAGGCCATATATACAGAGTTCTTCCTGAGTATTCAGGCTGCTATATTAAGTCCTCAATCTCTATGATGAGGTATTGATGGTCAACCTATGCCATTTATAAACAGGGCCTATTTTGTGCAGGTCCCAGTCTTCTCACTTGGTTTATACTTTTTCAGGATACATAAAAGCCTTTCTCATACTTGCTAAAGTTCTGTTACAGCAAATCATTCCAAGGACTACAACCAGGTTACAGTGACCCATGCCTAAATCAAAGTTGCTGGACTTCCATCCTGGTTTCACATCACTCAGGCTAAGAGGTGCCCTCCCAGCCCTAAATCTGATCATTCTGAGTGGTCACCTCATCTTCTGTCACCTACCCGTCTCCGTCTCACAAAGGCTTCGCAGCCACAGTTAACAGGCTAAGTCATGTTTTGTTATCCACTTTGGTTCCTAATTTCTTACATTCTATTAATGATCATTTTTACAGCAGGACTCTTTAACAGTATTGCCTACAGACTCCAACATCATGCATACCAGAGACAAGCCTCACCAACCTACCGTCTTAACTTTTATGCTTTCAGATTGGGGAGTAATCACCTCTCATAACTCCACTCCTCCTAACCCCGCATTTAATTTTCAGAATTCTGCCTCACCGTGGAAATGTTTCTACCTCAACATGGTCCTGATAGAATGATATGTCTAACTCAAAGGCACCTTTCCCTCTACCTCACCTGGGTCCTTAAATATGACAGTGCCATGTCTCCTCATAACATCTTGTCTCTTTGTTTTTCCAGTCTGACATACATGCATTCATCAGTGAAGTTGTCCTGGCCGAAACACCTGGCACCAGCAGTCTACCTGGGCATCAACCTTCATCCCGTCGACTCCCCTAGGCTCCAGTACAGCGCCCTTTGCCAGCAGGAAGTAGTTAAAGAGAGAAATCTTCGCCCCTTTTCATAATAACCATAAGACGGGATATGAAAGGTTTGGCCCAGACAGGACACTGTAGCCAGGAAAGCCACAACTGGAAGCAGGAAGCCCCATCTTGCCCTGCCCCTAGGAAGTTACCTGTGACGCCATCTTCCCGCCCCTGGGAATTTACATATGGCGCCAAACCTAGGACCAATGGGCTACCTGTGTATCCCTAATGCCCGCCTTAGGTTCCACCCCAAACCGAGGCTATTTACAGGCCCCCACGCCGCGTGTCCGCTGGAGAGATCGCCGGACGCCAGCGGTGGGGGTTGCCGGTCATCTCTCTCCATGTTCTCAGAATAAAGGCCGCTTTTTATTTTATATTTCTCATCTTTTGTTAATATTTTTCATCTTTTGGAAATAACTCTATCAAAGAATAGCTCCTAGATTTCCAGCCCAGCCTCCAGGGCCCCACCCCAGCCACTGGGAAACGGTCTTGACTCCGAGGTC